TTCAGACAAACAGTCACGAGTTAGTTGACAAACAGTTGCCACACAGTCGCCAAGTGCCTGCTACTCGTAAATAATTCGGAAACAAAATCTGTGTTTTTTGCTGTTCTGTAGAACCTCAAATTCAGAGTGCTAAAGAAAGTGTAGATTGTAATAATAACGTCCATTATACCAGGACTGTGCTAGATAAGGACCTATACATAAGCATTCTTTGTACTGACTGTGTGTCATCAGGTGAAGGGAAGTGCTGATATCAATAAATGGTCACAGTGTCTAAGTGCAAAGTAGCACTGAACCAACTACTTCCCTCCCCGTCCTAAGCGAGGCCCTAGCAAACGCTCTGAGAAGGATCCCAGCTCCACCCACAGCTGAACTAGTTGTCTATCACCTTTACCCTCTTTCCGAAATAAATCTAAGACTATTGTAAGCCGACACAACCTGAGCTTACTGGCGCCCAACCTAAGAAGAAGAAAGAAGGAGAGGAGCGACGAACAACATGTGACTAACCAACCAACAAGGGGGGGAATGAAGGTGAGGTAAGAACGGTTACGGAGAGAAAAGGAGGAGCCCAACGTAAGGGCTGGACAGTTACAATGTGTGAGTGATGAAACATACATTATTTGATATTGTGTTGTTCATTAAGAATATCCATTCATATGCATTATTTCTATAAACTGGATGAATTTTATAAGATAAAAGGTTAATATGTTTTCATCTAGTATTTAAGCCTTGTTGTAGTCACATTTTATTATGTTTAGTGACTGTGTTGTCTATGTTTTATATTATCTTATTTTGACTTGTTCCAGTGATTGGTTGGAACACTTGTTTTGATTTTTGACGCATTCTATATCCAGTGGTGTGACAACTTGTTTCTCACCCTGTAATAGGATCTACTTGAATATAAGAATAAATTATAATTATAATTATAATCACTGACCTAAGATGATACCAGTGTAATCGTTAATATTCCTAATCAGATAACATTTGAAAATATTGTTAATAAAATTTTCCAAGATATAAATAGATGGTTCACTACTAATTTATTGTCATTAAATGTTGAGAAGACTCAATTTATGCAATTTGAAACCAAGACTAGCTCCCTTCTTGACGTAAATATAATTCACGGGAACAAGAAAATAGTTAATATTCATAATACTAAATTTCTTGCAGTAACAGTAGATACTACTTTCTCTTGGAAGATAAATACAATAGACCACTGAATGTCGCAGTGCTAGGGCCAGTTTTATGGCTCACCCTTCATACTCATTCTCTTGGAAGATTCATATACAGACAGTTGTACCCAAGTTATGTTGAGCCTAATATGCGATTGGAAGAGTTAGCCTCTTTTGTCCCAGGAATCACTGAAGGTGGTGTATTGTTCTTACTTTCACATGGTTATAACTTATGGACTAATATTTTGGGGGAATTCTTGCCATAGCTACATAATTTTTAGGTTACAAAAGAAAGCTATCAGAATAATTACGGGGATTAGAGATAGAGTGTCATGCAGAAAATATTTTAGAGAACTAAAAATACTACCACTGTAAGCCCAATATATATTCACTTTCACTTGTTGTGATCAACAACAGACATCATTTCGAAGTGAATTCTGAGATTCACAATATTAATACCAGGACTAAATCTGATTTGCATCACCCTTTGACTCATCTGTCAGTCTTCCAGAAGGGAATTTATTATGCTTGGATTAAGGGGTTTGCCGGCTTACCTGTCGCAATAAAAAATCGGTCCCATAACAAAACAATTTGAACTGGAATTGAAAAACTTCTTGGATTCCTATTCATTTTATATGTTGGATGAGTATTTTGAAAATAAGACAAACTGAACCTTTTATAATGCTCTTTATGTGGTATAATGTATAAGATATTCATTTCATGCTTGTACATGCATTTCCAAAATGTGAGCTTAGTAAGGTGCTGATAAGTTTATCATGTTATTAAGGTGCTGAATTGTTTTATTATTGTTCTTTTAGGAATGTGATTATAGGAGAACTGGTTTTGTTTTCAGAACTATCATATACAGAGTGTTTCACGACTTTAGGGCATAACTGCAGGAGATGATTTCCTAGGTCTTTGCGATCAAAAAAAGTTCATATAAACATATGTCCGATTTTGGACGGTTACAGAGTTATGACCGTTTTAAACTCAGAATAGAAGGTAATGATTACTGACAATAAAATAAACCACCATATAATACATGATACGTTTAAAGTATGAATGTAAAGTTAACTTCGTGAAATTACCATTACTTTGAATTGACTGGTGCTTAAAGCTGATTTTCGAAAATGCCACCTCTGGCCCCAACACAGGCTGCCGCTCGGTTGTGAACTGCGCCAGACATACCAACCCGCCCTGCCTTAGGTAGCTCTCATGTTTCGAGATAACGAGAACGCTCTGTCTGTAGCTGGCTAAAAACAGCGACCTGCCAGCTGGCAGATGCAGTTCATATGAGGGCATGTACGAGAATGAAAAAACGGTCATAACTCCGTAAACGTCCAAAATAGGACATATGTTTATATGAAGTTTTTGGATCACAAAGACCTAGGAAATCACCTCCTGCAGTTATGCCCTAAAGTCGTGAAACACCCTGTGTATATGTGTATGTAAGTGTGATATGCTTTATGCCATATGGCTGTTAATTGTATGGTTGATGAATTATGCATGTTGTTGAATTCTAATGTTTAGTTGTTCTCTTGTGAATGCAGCTGTAAGAGGACCAGTTCTAGTTCTCAGAAATATCAGACATGTATTTTAAATACAAACCTCTCATATGGCATATTACATAAAAGATTTCAATTAATATTTGTTAATAAATTTCATAATACCTTCTTAACAGTTTTAGAAAACAGCTTTCCCCTGGTGTATAAAAAGGGAAAGACACCAATAATTGGATAACCAAAGGTATACGAACATCTTGCAATCGTAAAAGAGCTTTATACAACTTAGTTAAAAAATCAAAGGATGAAAGATTGGAATCATACTATAAAAGGTACTGTATGACATTAACGAAAGTAATAAAAGAAGCTAAGAAACTGTACTACCAAAAACTTATAAGTAACTTGGAAAACAAAACACAATTAACCTGGAAGATTATTAATAAAGAAACTGGGAAAAGGAGGGGCCCAGATAATATAATCGAATTGAAAGTGGGGAAAAGCAAACTAACTAATACTAAGGAAGTAGCAGAAGTATTCAATAAATACTTTATAACTGTAGCTGAGAATCTGGAAACGAAAAGTGCCAATAAAATGAAACTATTAAATTCTTGGACACTTTGAAATTTGATAAATTCCCTGAACTGAGGCTAATACCTACAACAGAGGTGGAAATAAATAGCATACTTAGTTGCAAAAATCAAAAGATTCTACAGGATATGATGGCATTTCTAGTAAGATATTGAAATACTCTATAACTGAGATAAGTAAACCATTGTGTCACATATTTAATGCATCTTTTGAGCATGAAATACATCCTGATAGAATGAAATTTGCCTCATTAAGACCTATATATAAAACAGGTGAGAAGGCAATTATGGCAAACTATAGACCTATATCATTGCTAATAAGTTTTTCTAAGATTTTTGAAAGAGTGGTGTACAATAGGATAAAGCAACACATATATACAAACAATTTAATGTCTTTTGCACAGTTTGGATTTAGAGAAGGCAGTAACACAGAAATGGCAATATATACATTGACTAATCATATTTTAGAAATGTTGGAAAGATGCAATCATTCTTGGGAATTTTTTGTGATTTGACAAAAGCATTTGACTGTGTGAATCATGATATTCTTTTGAGTAAATTAGCAACATACGGCATTGGTGGTAAAATAAAAATATGGTTGAAGTCATATCTGGAAAATAGAAGACAAAGAATTGAACTCTATAATAATGAAAATGGTAAATGCTGTTCAGACTGGGGAACTGCCAAATATGGAGTGCCACAGGGCTCGATTTTGGGTCCTTTGTTGTTCCTCTTATATATTAATGACCTGCTGTCAGCATTAAGTACTGACAACAAGTCATTGTTGTATGCTGATGATACAACTACACGTATATTAGCATCAGGTATTAATATCAATGAAATTCAAGAAAGGTCTAAACTTACATTAAATTCCTTAAGTCAGTGGTTTAAATACAATGGCTTATCCCTAAACTTGAGGAAAACTAAAGTGTTAAAATTTGAAATAATCAATCGTGACAATATGCCTGTATATTTAAAGTTTAACGATGAATTATTACAAGAGGAAACTCATATTAAATTTTTGGACATTGAAATTGATAAGTTCTTGAATTGGAAGACACAGGTTGAATCACTATTACCCAGATTGGGAAAGGCATGTTATGCAATACGAATTATGAAAACATATAGTAATGTTACAACACTTAAAATGATATATCATGCACACTTTCATTGACTCATGAGATATGGAATAGTTTTTGGGGTAACTCATCAGAGGCCAAGAAGATCTTTCTCTTACAAAAGAAGACTATTAGAATAATAATGGGGATGAAACATAGAGAGTCATGTAGGTCAGCATTTATAAAGTTAAATATATTAACACTGGTCTCTCAATATATTTTATCTCTGATGACTTTTATGATAAATAACTTTGAGTATTTTACTTTTAATTATTCAATTTATGAGAGACCAACAAGACACGAAAGAAATTTACATGTCCTACAATCACATCTCGCAATGAGGCAGAAAGGGGTCCATTGCATGAGTATAAAAATATTTAACAGTCTGCCTGATTATTTAACTGATTTAGTACATGATAAGAACAGTTCATAAAATAAATAAAGGATGTCCTAATACATAATCTGTCATGTACTGTTGATGAATTTTTGCTCCTCTGTCAGGATCAACAGCTAAGGAATAGAAGGGGAGTGCATTCTAACTGATGGATGTCCCACAGTAGGCATTAATATGCACATTAAGTGTAAGTGTAAGTTAAGAAAGGAGAATCACTATGTATTGCTAATTATCTTGTTGATATAACTGTATGTGTACCATTGTATCTATTTGATTGAGGTATTCAGTTTAGAGTTTAACTATGGTTGAACTGATGTCTCTGCAATTTTTCTGTGATTGTCTTGTGACTGTTGTTTGACAAGTTTTATATTCAGTGCCAGTTGCACACTTGTGAATTCTCTGGAATGCTGATGTATGTATGTACATTCTAGGCTGGGATCTTGGTAAGAAATCCTCTAGTTAATAACTGTACTTGCATGTCAGATTACTAAATTATGTACGATTATTGCATCTTTCATGAACGCTGTTGAAAGATGACTGGTTCTGTGTCCAGAACTAATATATATGACATGTTCTATATCCGATGGCTTAATAAAGATATAAATTTGGGACACAGGGTTTCTTTTGTTATTGCTGTTGCAAGTGGGATGATGTATGACTGTGATGTGTATGAAATCTGTGGGTAGTTAAGTTTTATAATATAACTGACTCATTTACAATACATATGTTTTATCTGGGGGTCATATCACCAAATGTGGATTCTTGGAACAAATAAATTGATTCATTGATATTATGTTTACGAACATCCAGATGTTGACCAAAATGATATTTGTACAATATGAAATACTTATAATTCTTACACGTTACGCATACGTACATTTATTTTCCTTAACTGAAATGACGGCTATTTTCGTCTTCTTAATCCACCACTTTCAAATGGATGCCAAACGGCTAGTTCCTCTAATGACCGCTGATGTGAAAGCAATCGTCTAATTTCCCTCTTAGCATAAGAAATATCTAACTTCTAAAAATCAGTTTTTATTGTAAACAACCCAGATAATAACAAGCAGATACAAAATAATTAGTTTTGATCAACTTTTATGTGAAAATGGGAATGCAGAGACAGTGATGCCAACTATTTCGGAACACGAAGGGCAGGATGTGTCGCTATTTCCTGAATTAAATTTGGCTAAGTATATAGCAAGAACGGCAAGAATTGATGTACGTGAGGACGTGACGTTTCATATTGCAAAATCCTGAATAATAAAAAGGGGCAAGACAAAATTAATGTAGAGATACAGACAATAAAATAGGGGGAGAGTGTATAACCTTAAATTTATATGAAGCTACGTGTAATTTCAGCTTTGCTATCACATAGTGCAAGCCTCAAAACAAGCCATAGGAATGGATTGCATTGTTAGGAGAAGTTTTGTAGTGTTCAAGGAAAGGTCTGTTCTTGATTTATATCGTCGTGTTTGATTTCGAACTGCATCCCAGCTTCATGTAAACTTGCTTAATGAGCTCAAATCTCAAAAGTTTAGGAATTGTTGTATATTTACTGAATATGCCCGATAATCATTACGAAAAGTAGAACTTACTTAGATTCTATACGGTTCTGACGTTGAACGTACGAAATTACTGGGTTTATGGACTTCTGCCTACGTCCCTTCTAAAAAACAACTATTCAGAAACATTCCCTCAAAACAAAAAACTCTTCAGGTTATGATGGAATAAAAAGTAAAATTCTAAAAGTTTGTGCATCTCTAATCAGTAGCCCATTAACTCACATCTGTAATCATCAGGGTGTCAAATCCAGTAATTCCTGTAGAGATCTATTTAAGAGACCATAGATCTTAACTTTTCCTTGTGAATATATATATTCATTAATAAACTTCGTTACAAATAACAGAACATTTTCAGATGAATGGGGATGTACACTGTTAACACACGAAAGAAACACTGTCTTAATAAACCAATTGCTAACCTCATGCTTTCAGAAAAGCACATATTATGTTGGGATCAACATTTTTAATAACCTGCCATCTGATCTCAAAGGTCTCATACATGAAAAGACACGACTTAAAATAGCACTGAAACGAAACTTAAATACACATTCATTCTACTCTGTTGATGAATACCTATTGTCTACAAATAACTTGTGTATCTTTAAGTAGCCTTGTGTGTAGTCACTGTGTATTCTTGGTTTCTCATGTGTTGAATTGAATTTATTTGCATTCCATAAACCCTAAGCAGGTTTGGATATAGAACAAGTCAAAAGATGTAAAACTTATGAATGACAATTATAGCCATATCTTAGATGTATTGCATGTACCGGGATTGTCTACAAATTTGTTGTCTGTAAACTCAGTTGTAAATAAGGGTACAGTTGTGTTATTCACCAAAGACTGTTGCAAGTTACCTTATTTACGCATGTATAGGCCGCACATTTTTTGCCAAAAATTCAAGAGGAAAACTGGGGTGCGGCTTATATTCAAAATATTCGAAATCACACTTCATTTAAAAAAATATATTCATAATTAGTAATACATCCTGAAATAATCCTGAAATAATATTCCAAGAAAATTATTTTTTCTATAATTTCTGTCTGAAAATTGTGCTGCGGCCTATACACACACGCAGCCTATACATGCGTAAATACGGTATATGTTATCATCAGCAAGGGTTAATTCATGTTCCTTAGAATCATGTGTTTTATAATCATTATGGCCACTTCTAAGCCCTTCGCGAATATTGATAGGCTCAAAGGACACGAAAATTATAGAGAATGGTGCTTCGATATTCAAAATATTCTACTGATTGAAACTGTGTGGTCAGCAGTTGAAGGATATCCTGCAGAAGACACAACGCCTGTATCCATCAAGAAAGAAAAGAACAAGAAAGCAAGAGCCATCATTTGTCTGACATTGGAGCCCCAAGTTAAACCTTATGTCGTCCAGACAACAACAGCAAAGGAAGCCTGGGACGCGTTGGAAAGAACATTCAAAGATCAGGGAGTCAATAGTTGGATAAGTATTTTAACTGAGTTGTGCTCTTTGAAACTTGAGGACTATAAAAGCATGCAGGAATATATTAATGCCTTCATGTCAATAAATCTCAGACTAGTCTCAATGTACAAAAAAATAGATGATGAGCTATTAGCAGCATTAATGTTAAAGGGTTTAACTAAAGAATATTATCCCATGCGTATGGCGCTTGAAAACTCCAACGTAACTCTGACTAGTGAGCTCAATAAATCTAAGCTATTGCAAGACACTGAATTTGGTAAAAATGCAGATTCAGCCTTTCTGTCCAAAGATAAGATTAAATGTAAACCAGCAAAATGTCAAATTTGTGGTAAGCTAGGCCACATAAACAAAAACTGTTGGTTCAAAGATAAGGATAAGGCGAACAATAAGAATCATAACAATCAGCATAGGCAAAAATTTAAGAGCAATCAGTCTTCTAAAGCAATTAATAGTACTGATGAAAATAAAGAATGATCCGATCATAGGTGTAATGAAAATAAATGGAAAAATAAGACCAGTAAAATATCCATGTATATGGTGTCTGCCCATCATGTTAAAGTTAAAGAGAACACTTGGGTAATAGACTCTGGTGCTTCACACCATATGACCGGAAATAAGACTATTTTGCAAAATTATAAAACACATGATTCTAAGGAACATGAAGTAACCCTTGCTGATGATAACATGTTAACCAGTGCAGGTTTTGGTGATGTAAAACTTATGAATGACAATTATAGCCATATCTCAGATGTATTGCATGTACCGGGATTGTCTACAAATTTGTTGTCTGTAAACTCAATTGTAAATAAGGGTACAATTGTGTTATTCACCAAGGACTGTTGCAAGTTATATGATTCTGATGATTTTCAGGTAAGAGGCAAAGTTCTTGCCAAAGCATATCCCGAAAATGGGATTTATTGTTTAAATACCAAAGCTAACATGACCCAATCTGCAAATATAGCAACTAAAGATAAGATTAATACCAAAAAGAAAAATCACAAATGTGAAAAATCTTGTATTGATACTGTAAAGAATGAACAAGTTGCAAGTACCCAGCAAGTTGATGAATAACTGTTGTGGCATAGGTGTTTGGGGCATTTAAATAGGGTTAGCACGCGGTTGCTAAAAAAGGGTTTAGCTAATGGCATTGATTTTCAAGAACAAGAAGATCAGTCAAAGAAATGTGTTCCATGTCTGGAAGGCAAAATGACAAAGAAGCCTTTCCTACAATCAAAGAACAAACGGTCAAAAAGAATACTCGATCTATTGCATTTAGATCTGGTTGGGCCATTTGAAGTACCCTCTTATGGGAATGCTAAATATTTTTTGACTATTGTGGATGATCATAGTAGAAAAATCATCGTTTTTGGAGACAGAAACTGAATTGACAATAAAAGCTATTCGTTCCGATAATGGTGGTGAATTTTGCAGAAAATTATTCAATGACATGTTAAAACGAAAGGGAATTCTCTGTGCCACATAATCCACAACAAAATGGAACTGCTAAAAGAGCTAATCGCAGCATTTTGGAAAAAACAAGATGTATGTTGTATGATTCCAGCTGCAACAAAAGATACTGTGCTGAAGCAGCACAGTATTGTAGAAGACTACAATATTTGTAAATGGTTGTGTGTGTTAAAAATGTAGGATTTGTTTGGAGCACCACTTAATAAGTCAGTGAAACTTCTAGTGTTTTGGCTAGTCTTCGATGTGGAAAGTGTCTGTCCTCATTTCCAAAATTTTGAAGGAAAGATTTCGTCCACAAGATTCTAACTGTCTGATATGAGCAGACTGGTAGGTTACAATGCTTGGCAACTTCCAGTTACAAACAGATAGCTAGCAACTGTCAGCCCTCAGAGACTCGGCTGCAACTTCACACCTCAGGCTCATTAATTTTCTGCTGGCATGCCTTGCAAAACTTTGTTGCATTACAGATGGAATACTTTACAGTTTAAAATGGTGCCCCAATGCAGCAGGATGCTGAAATATAATAGAACACTACATGTTACTGTTTGACCCTGGTTTATGGACAAGATTCCTTGTAATAGGGTTTGAAAATGATGATGATTTGTACTTCTAGAAATTCAGCTGCTGCAGAAGGATCAATGGATTATATCGTGACAGGTGCCGTAGATGGTTTAGTGAAGGTCTGGACATTCAAGAATGATTGTCTAGAGCTAAAACACAAGCTTGAGGGTCATTCACTTGGAGTTGTCTCAGTTGCAATAAATTCAGACAGTACAAGTAAGTAGAAGTACAGTCATTCTATTGTTAACATCTCTCCTCGTCATTGACATTGAAAGGGCAGCTGTTATTTATGCGAATGCAGACTTCTGTGCCATTTGTCATGAGCGATTTGCAGGTTTTTAGTTCCTGGTTGTGTAGCAACCAGGTAAGTGGTCAGTACTGTCACGTGTTGGGTGTATGATGCGACAAATAACTTCACGCCATCTTGGATGTAGTGAATTTATTGCACACAGTTTACAATTTCATAAGTACTGCCAGCTGCAGTATCACAATTAATTCTCCTGCTGGAGTCCCTGCCACGTACTCGATACAACTCAGCTCATAGCTGCTGGACTTCCACTGGCCTCGGCGACTGCTAGATTTCAACTCTCTCAGTGACTGCACGATCCACACTCTCTCACGCCTAGTCACACACACTTCAACTGCACCGAATACTCCGAATACTAAGTGGCTTTGGCAGTTGCTACATTTCAACTGTCGGCACACACACTGTACACTGGCTTCTGTCTGAGAAATACTGCTCGTTATATAGCATCCGCACTGTCAACACAGAAAACAGTTACGTGATAGCTACCACTGTTGCATCACGTCGGGTTTACAGGCGTTGCTGATGAACGCTGCCGAGAGTTGTTTATTGCTGCGTAGTAACCACGGTGTCCCCTGTTACATCACTGTGGGAAGTGCTGTTATGTCACTGCAGGGTGAGGGGTGTTTACCAAGTGTTGCATAATGATGGAAGGAGTGGGGGTATGTGATGTCACTCGCAGAAATGCAGAGTTCACGTGACCCCTACTTCCTCTTGTGCCATCCACGTTACAGTACAAATGACGAGCAATGAGTGTTGAGATGAGAAGGATCACTTCAAGGGAAATGATTGTTGAGTATACAATTCTTTATTAAGTCCTTCACAACACAACAGTACAGTGTTCAAGGCTAAATTAGCTTTGTTACATGTTTCGGCTATCCGTAGCCATCATCAGGCAAATACATGATCATATTTATGCACTACTGAACTGCAGTTGTGTATAGAATTTGGATACTTGACAATTATCATATTATAGAACACATGGCATAAAGATTACAATGAAGTATAAACTTATTATAAAACAATGTTTTGCCATAAAATTGGTAAAAACTATTCATGTGATAATCTATATCATCAAGTCAGTCATTCCAATTTTGTATTTTCCCGTGGACGATGGTATATGTACATACATACGAGGGGGGACCCAAAAATAACCGGAACCGACCTGTTGCGCGCGCATGCTTTGTAGTTACGAGTTGTGCTGCTAGGTGGGGTTAGCTGGGGGTCTCCCGCGACTGTTAGTGAGCTGGCGTCAGTCTGAGTTAAGTGGTTTGTCTGTGGTGCTCTGTTGTGTTCGTTCCTGTTTCAACCCTTTGGCGATTAGTGAAATGGCCGACCAGAAGGAACAAAGAGTGTGCGTGAAATTTTGCTTTCTGTTAGGGAAAACTGCAGCCGAGACTGTTGGGGTGCTTCGGCAAGCCTTTAATGATGATGCTTTGGGGAAATCACAGGTCTACGAGTGGTTTTCCCATTTCAAATCTGGCAACATGTCAACAGAAGACATGCCACGCCCCGGGCGTCCTTCGACAGGAAGAAATGACGAAAACATTGCCAAAATCAAACGTGCAATTGATGAAGATCGTCGAAAGACCATTGACCAACTTTCTGAGGAAACAAACATCTCATGGAGCA